CCCAGCTTTAATCTGTTAATGCCCCTAACACCATATTTATAACCAATTAAAAAGTTCCTCATCTGTTGTGTACCTCCATACACGACACAGGTTTAAATGTCAAAGTAAACCGTCAACTATAAAAGACAATGCTTCTCGTAAAAGTTCATTACTGATAACATTTTTCAAAAGTATCTACATTATCCTGTAAGTCGTTTTAATTCGAATTTTTTAATTTTTTAAAATTTTTTTTAATTTTTAAAAGTTTTAAATTTTCTCAGTATCTCAAAATGTACCGATTGCGATAGTTTTAATTTGACTGTGCAGGAAATTAATTCAAAATCTAATCAGAATTTAAACGCTGTTTAAAACTAATGATAGAATTCACGATAGGTTTAATTTCGCGGGAAAATGATATATTGCGAACATAGCTAAATTAAAACCACCGTGAATATTTACCAGTCTACAATTTCTGATTATCCTCATAGCTTTGAAGATAGATTGATTATTTTTTTCTAGGATTTACGCTAGTTAAATAGCGTACATTGTACATAGCAATGCATTTCAAAATAATTTTAAAAAAAGAAAATGATGTAATTCATTATGTGAAAAAGGAAGTGGAGTCCTATCTTCTTTGGTTCGTGGGAATGGCATTGCGAGAATAACAAATTATGAGATAGTACACTGTAATTTCTGAGTAAAATTATATTGCATGAAGAGAAAGGAAAAAAAAATCGTTAGTCTTTTTATGCTTCGAAAACCTCGAAAATTAGTGATTACATAGGATATAAAATACACATAAACAACATTTCATACACATACACACACTTTTCACAGATATTCACACACACAAACACACACGCACCCACCCTCACACCCTTCTTCACACACACACACAAACACACACACACACACAGAGAAAGAGAGAGAGAGAGAGAGAGTACTTTAAAGTAAGTTTATTATTGCATGGGTACCAGTTCATTATCTATTGAAAAATTATCCGAAACATCATTTGGTGTAGATATGCGCTAAAAAGAAGATAATTCTATGTTTTCTTTATATAGTTTATTGAAAACAAGAGTTTTTAAAATCAATGGCATGACAACATTTCCTTACAAATTTTACAACAAATCTCTTGTTAATCCAGGAATACAATTTTTTTATAGAAACAACAGGCTTTTTTAAAATCGGATCAGCATTAATAAATAAAAAAAAATACTGTACTTTTAGTCAGATACTAACAATGTATTACATAGTCAACATCGATCTTTTTCTTTTGAAAAAAAGTACATGTATATGAAGTGATCTTTAAGAAAAAGATTACAACAAATCTCTGGTTTCAATACAGACATAAATAATGAAATTGGACAAAAAAATTACTATTGGGCAGTGATTTTACAAAATGTTATTTTCAATGAAATACATAGAGAAAAAAAATAGAATGGCCGTCAATTTTAGGACACATCTCTGCAAATATATGCATTTAATGTCTACAATACAGTTAAACTACGGTAACTATACTTTGATCACACGCAAGCTTTCTTTAATTTTGTGACTATGTTGACATAAAACAGCATTAGGTACCTTTTTTTATATATACATGCACAACACAGTTAAACTTTGATCTGAAATTTTGGAAACATAACAGAATAAAAAAAAAAAAATAAAATATTCTCAGATTAGGAAGGTATGTGATGAAAAAAAAACTAAAAAGAATAAGTAAAAAAGAATCCCTAACATAATAAATATTGAATAATCATAATATCATATTATAAACAATATGCCATACAATAAGTCACAGACAGACAGAAAAATAATTTAGAAAAAACACAAAAACTTAACGTCTGATGAATCCAACTCTTGATTTGATAATTTCTCGAACATCTATCATCTTCCACATATATATAAATGGGTTCGTAATAGAATTCAAAACGCAAAGAATACCCGCTACTTTGGTGTACATGTCGTATGGAGACGTTTTCTCCTCCCAGAATGTTAAAATGAAAGGTCCCGTCAAAAGTATGAACAATGCAATAAGTACACCGACTAACTTCAAGGTATTGACATATCTTTGCTGTGACAGTGAAAGTATCTTACGATGACTCTGGGTCTGTGATTTTGTAATACAGTTACCATGAGTAGTTCTCTTGTCGTTTTTCGCACCGACTGTAGTAGGTAATGGCCGCATTTCTACGTGAATCGTCTTTACGTTTATGGAATCTGAATTGCCAATAGGACGCACTTTCTTGAAAGTTTTCAATACATGGCAAATCGTAAGAGAGTAAAAAAGTATCGTAAGTCCTACAAGAGAGAGAGAAAGAAGCCTTATATATATTGAGTGTTCCATATAATATCTGTCATAAACATATGACAGAAAACGATCATTTTTCATATCGAAATCCCTGTCAGGTGGTGAAATAAGAACGAAGTTCATAATTACAACTCCAACTGAACTGCATATGCAAACGTAATACTTCCGGTTTTGTTTAAAAATGAACAAGTTCCAGTTTTCTTTACACAAAACAAGATATCTCTGTAAACTGATCAAAAAGGTCTGTAGAAGTGACAGACACAAACCATTACACCTCAAAACTACTTGCAAAACAGTTACGAATCTGTTCCCAATTACGAAATGATTAATAAGATTTAGTCCGCTGCATATAACCCCATGACCGATTGTAAAATCACTCAAAGATAATAAAAGAACTAAAAACTTGTAGGGGTTCTTTCTTATATTTTTATCTTTTATAAAGATAGCAAAAACTCCCCCATTAATAAAAAGAACGAGGGTTCCTAAAGGTAGGGCTGCAAAAGACATTGGCTGCATTGTGGGATGAGCACCAATTCAATTCTTGAAGTTGTCACTTGAAGAACAATTCCTTGCCTTTGTTGTATTCATAACACTTGCTTCGTGCTCGATATTTGCTCTTAAAATATGCCACTAGTAGAGATCTGATGATGAAGGTTGACGTTTTTTTAGGTTAAAACTGAAAATGTAGAAGAAATATATGAATCATCCCGTAGATTTATAATTTAGCATTTTAGCAAGTACATTAAACAATACAAAATAAGAGCAGAGCAAACACGGACCTCCATGACATCGGAGGTGGGATCAGGTGTCATGGAGGAGTAAGCATCCACTGCCATAGTTAAATAGCTTTTGTACAAACTGTGTTTAATTTAAAGTCATTTCTATTAGAAATATATTTTTAGGAATCTCATGTTATCTTTTAGCAAGTTAATTCTCATGTTACTTTAGAAAGACAAATTTTCGTATACATAAAATTTCGTTGATTTGTCATCTAAAAAGGTTTCGTGGACATAAAATTTTTTGTTGTTTCGAAATCAAACCATATTCAAAATTTAGTCATATAAAATTTTGTGGGGATTTATTTTCATTGATAATTGTTAACAACGAAAAAAACGAAATTTAATCCCCAACAGATATTTCTTCTTCTACATTATATTTTTTCTAGAAGGTTACAGTCCATGAAGCGTTCAACTTTCCCGTTTTTCCTTTCGGACACCGCTCGTTCACCGTGCGTTCAGCGTTCGTGTACCGTTTGTTCAGCGTGCGTTCATCGTTCGCTCTCCGTTCATAGTTTTGTGCGCTCGCGTTCACCAGTCACAAAACGTCCACCGTTCGCTCTTCCTATCGTTTACTTTGCGTTCACCTTGCGTTCACTGTTCACTTATCGTTCAGTCTTTATTGTCATTCGGAACTCCGAAGTGAAAGGACATATCTTTTTGATGGGAAGGATTTACACGTTTTTTAATTAAATAACTAAGATACATGAAGTAACTACATGTATGTAGAACGATGCTAAAATCTTTAGAGCGAATTAAATTGATAGAGTGATTTTAAATTTTAGAAAAGACCAACCATATCAAATGTAATACATTGGAATTTTTTCTACTTTACGTATATAAAGTCCATTATTAGAGAGAGGGAAAATTCCTTCCTTCACCGTAACTAAATATACGTTTGCCATTCAGTATGATTGAGAGACCTCCCCCCCCCCCACCGGCGCCTATCTCACAAAATCAAATTCTTAATAGTTAGGATTATCAGTATATTTTAATTTATTTTCAATATATTGTAACACAAGAAAATCAGTCTTAAATCGGACAACAAAACAGTCATTAAACAAGAGTCTGCTCTGAGTACACGACAATATCAAATAAGGGCATACTTCTCATTGATAAGTTAATGTTCCAGGCGTTTCAACGACCTTGTTTTTTAGAGTCTCTTTTTTTTAAATTGATTGTTCTGAGGGTCTTTGTTTTATTGCCTCTTTATGATTTATATTAAAAATATATATTTTTTTCAATATAAACCATTGTCCATATTTTCACCTTTCAGATTTTATCTTCCATTTTAAAGAAAATATTTTTGCAATTGAATTTGAATTAGCAAATGTACATTTCACCTGAACTGAAGAGTCAGGTGATATTTTTTTCAATCAAATGGTACCCGACATTTAACTATCTCCAGTTCTGTTCTTCAAAAACAGGATCAGAATTGTCTTATTAGTATCTCCTTATCAATCAGTTTTACAGTCAACAAAAGTTTATCTATTATTTGTTTCGATGTTGCATCGATATATCCATTAAAATACTTGCAAAACCTAATGTAGGCTGTTACCTGACAAGTTAGACTTCAGCAAAATAGAAATCAAAATTACGCTGTAAACTTTCATTTTTTCATCTTTTGAGTCTGTGGAGTGCGTGCAAGTGATAAAAAAAACTTAACTACAAAGGTATAAGGAAATGTATACAAATACTGTTAAAATTACATGCATAAGATATAGTTCCAATTAGAGAATTAGCACATGTACATAACAATGTTTACGAATAACATCGAATTAAATAAAACTTAAAATATTTCAAACACTACAAAGACATAAATCCCAAATAAAACATTCTTCAATTTCTACTGAAGCACTACTGTTTCTGACAGAGTTTTAAACAAATGTAAATTATGTACCCCATATCATAAGCATGCTCGATATCATTCATATCTAATTTTCTAACTGGAGATAATCCTCTATGCCTGTGTTTATGTATGTGTTTTGGAGACTTTGGTAATCAGAATGCGTCTCAAACTTTTCATCGGTTGAAGAAACTATTTCAGAGAGCTCTATTACAAGATCTGAAAATGATGGTCTTTCATCGGGATCGAGATTCCAGCATCTGAGCATTTTATTGTATCTGCGAAATACAGAAAGAAGAATTATGAAGGTTTTGTACCTTTAACCAATGTATAAAAATCTAATAAATGAGTCAAGGGGAAATTTTTTATATATATGAAATGAAAATATGTCAAATTTCAGTATTTTTTTTTTTGGTGGTAGGGTGGGTGGGGGGTAATATATCTTACAGTATGTCTGGACATTTGGTTGGTTTTGGCAACCGTCTGGAATTCTTTAAGTACTTTAACATGTCCCATCCATCCACTTCCGGGTATGGCTTACTTCCCCTTGTAAGAAGCTCCCACATGGTGACTCCAAAGGACCACTGGTGGAAATTTTAATCGATTTTATGTATTTTACTTACAAATACTGCAATGCACTTCATTATTTATTGTATACTTTATACGGGGTAATTTTCGCCCCCGTTTTATTTTCGCCCCTTTCGCCCTTGTCACAAGTGGGCGAATTTAAAACGGGACGAATGCAAAGAACACAGTATAAATTCTTAAACAGAACTGGGACTGGGCGAATTTAAAACGGGGCAAATTTGTAAGCAAGTATAAAAGGGCGAAAATAACACGGGACGAAAATAACCTTGTGTACAGTATTCCCTACATGACAAAATATTTATTTGTATAAAAATTTGGTTGTTGCAAAAGGTAGTTTTGTTTTGAAATTAAATACTTGCATATAAAGGATTGATGTGTCGTAAGATTGATCTCATTTGAAATATATCTTTACTGAAGATACTCAATATCTCCATATCCTTTAATTAAACAATAGACGATTATAATCACCTGTCATCGGAGTTAGAGGGGATATAGTGACCATCTATGGGTGTGTACATGTGTGGTTGTTTGTGGGTCATGTGATGCTTTGTAATATAATATGCTTAAAATAATATTTCGTTTAAAATCAAAATTCTTTTCTCAATTTCAGAAGAATTCCTTGATCCACCCATTACGTCGTCATATATACGCTACATATATATGCTTTGTTACCTGAAGATGTCTTGTAGTTGTTGGTGGGATGAATGCCGTCGTAAATTTTGATGCAGTTTAGTATTCTCTTTCAGTTTGAAATCACAAATTATTACATTTGTCAGGCATTAAAAGAAATGGATACTTTGTATGCTATTTAAGTAAACATTTTCCCAGAAAAAGTAGGCTCTGTCAACCCCCCGTTCCATGTAATCTTAACAGTGCTGACGGTTCTATACAGCAAGACGAAAATGCTCTATTCAAACAAGAGTTTTGATGTTCCTCAAGATTTTCTAGCATTGTGTGAAATAAAGTCAGTTTGGATTGGCACGGTAAAATTTTCCGATACGTTCAGTTGAAGTTTGTAAACTACAAGCACGCCAAATTTACAACTTACTAATCTGTTGAAAAAAAATGCATTTTCAGGTAAAATGAATCAAATCGAATTTGTTAGAGTACATTGCAATACCTACACTAGTCTTAATTCGTGTTGTCTTTTCTAGTTTGTTTTAAGGCATAATGTATTTTTAGCTTTCTGAGCAAAAGGCTCAAAGAGCTAAAGCGATGGCCATTTGTGCGGTGTGTGTAAACTTTTCAGAAAATGGGCCTTAAACCAAGAACCCCTTGGCCAATCATTGTCAAATCCTTGGCCCAAGAGAAACCATTTATACTAAAGTATGGGTTGGACCCCTAAACAAGGGGCGATAATCAGAAAATTAAAACAAAAATAATACTGGTTGCTAAAAAATCTTCCTCTCGGGATCCACCGGGCAGATTTCCACCAAACTTATATACAAGAAACAAATATGTTGAAGCTTTAAATTTGCACAGGCAATTACCCCAAAGGACTCAAGGTCTAAAGGTAACTTCCAAGTTGACCTAAATTTACACTTAATAAAAACGTTTATATTTCGCTTACTAAAACACTAGGATCATCAAATCTTTTAAGTTGATGCAACTTAAGACTTTACATCATGTTAACTCAAAAGTAGGTCACGGTGACCTACTTTTTTTAATGTTGGGAACATTTGTTTTCAAATTGATTTTGAGGCATATTTTGGACACTTTAAGGCCTATGATCATCACTGTTTGTCAGTTGATGCTTCTTGTGATTTCAGACGTCAACTAAAAAGTAGGTCACCATGACATATGAATCTGTCGAAAACATCTAATCCCATTATTTCAGACAGTGAGAGGTTTAGAATCATCAAATCTTGTAAGTTTATGCATCTTGGGGCTCTAAAACATATTTTTGAAAAAGTAGGTCACAGTGACGTACTTTTAGAAATTTGCAAGCATTTGTTTTCAAATTTTTTAAAATGCTTTTTTTGAATGCTTTCAGACCTACATGTATGATCATCAAACTTTGTCATTTGATGCATTTTGGGTTTGAAGGGGAACGTTGATCAAAAAGTAGGTCACTATGACCTACTTTTGAAGTTTTAGGGCTATGTTTAAGTATCTTAGGGACTCATTAACTTAGAATCGTCAAACTTTGTCAGTTGATGCACTTTGGGTTTTCCGAGAATGTCGAACAAAAAGTTGGTCACTGTGACCTTCTTATAAATATCTCAGGTACTTTTTGACTTAGAATCATCAAACTTTGTCTGTTGATGGATCTTAGAATATCGGAGAATGATGACTGAAAGGTAGGTCATCGTGACCTACTTCTGACATTTTATGGTTATATTAAAGTATCTCGGGTACTTATTGGCTTACAGTCGTCAAACTTTTTCAGTTGATGTACCTTGGATTTTCGGAGAATGTCGACCAAAAAGTAGGTCACGGTGACCTACTTTTGAATATTCCAACTACTTATTAGCTTAGAATCACCAATCTTTTTCAATTAATGCATCTTGAGACCTCAGAAAATTTCAATCAAAAAGTAGTTCATCGTGATTTTGTTATGGCATTTTATAGCTATATTGAAATATCTTCAGTCCTAAGTGGCTAAGAGTCATTAATTTTGTCAGTTGATGCATCTTGGGTCCTAGGATACGTAGAGTTTGACGCTTCAAATAGAAGTGATAGATTGTACAATTTATAAGAGGAGCGATTCAAGGCCCCTTGGGTCTCTTGTAAATAAATAAAAAAAAATAACCCTCACTGTCTTGATATAAATATGTTCATCTACTTATTTTTCCTTACAAGATTAAATATTTACTGGAATAAATTTACTAAACTGATTCAAAACCATTGTGTCCGTCCAAAAGTCAGAGTAATACAAGTCAAAATATATCTTAATTCCAGCTGTGATCATGTACGTGAACTAAGCATACTAGTACTTTAATTGTTTTTACTTTTTCAATATCGAATGATATCATTGAAAAGTTCATAACTAAGAATTCAATATATAATAATTTCTTATACCACGTCCGATTGTGAGCTGTATATTCCCTTCTCGAGGCTTTCTGGGGCCATCCATTTTACTGGTAGCCTTGTTTTCTTGTTACTACTACTGTAGTAATCTTTCTCATAAATATCACGTGACAATCCAAAATCTGCTACTACTGCATGCTGATCCTCGTTAAGCCTTTTTAAAGAAGGAGGAATAATATATCACATTACCAAATGTGTATAATGGTAAAGTACATGTTTTGCCATGGGAAACACCACATTTTTGTCCGATCGAAATATTTAGTAGAAGTACACATTGAGATTATGTAATAACGTTTCTATTAAAAGCCTCACTACGTTTTATTGCAGCCCGGAGAACCGGGCTGCTTTATACATATAAGTTTAAGTGTTGGTGTATGGGGATTGAGGTGGGAGAAGTTATTCAGTATCAAAGGTTTTCTAAACATTGAGAAGATTGTTAATCAGAATGTTCTCTCCCTTTATAAATTACGAGATACATAACATATTTAGTTTAATAAAGTGACTCTGTAAAAATATATATGTTTTTCATATTTAATATATAAATTTGCTAGTCATTACTATTGAAAAAACGACAGATCCCTTTTTCTAGAACATCGAATTTTACTTACAGCAAAAAAACGTTTTGCATTTTTAAAGTGAAATACATTTTTGAATATAGGCGATGCACGTGTCTGTTTTCAATTTTTATTTCATGCAGCCAACATTTACTTGAGGATTTAATAAAGTTTAAAAGAGTACTGTTTTTGTTCGATTTTCATCCGACTTTAAGTTTTCAAAATGTTCTTGACTATCGTCTCCATCATCTAGACGCATGCCTTTTTCACACATATGGAAGAGGTTTGATGATCAAGACGATTTATCTCCATTGTTACTTTATTTATTTCCCGGGCGACAATTGATGGTTACATTCAATGTTTTCTTGTTCACTTTTGTAGGAGGTATATTGTGGAATGCTTTCAGATTCCAGTTTTGAAGTAATTTTTGAGTTCAATTTTTCTTTCTAATCCTCAGAAATATTCTCAAGGAAGACCAAAATATTAAATTTGTATCAATGCAATTTTTTCATATGTTATTTATGGAGAAGAGTTAGCGATTAAGTGTCTTACTATTTTAGATTTGTTAATATAATGCATCGTATGTTCAAGTCAGTGCATAGTTAAGATTAAGAATCATGTATACCTGAATCTCCCTGAATATTTTCCATTGATACCCTTGTTCTTTTAGTCGTCTTAACTTTGTCTTGTTTTCTTTGCCGAATTAAGATGAATGCAACACAGGCAATGACAATCAGGAACGCTAAAGAGGCCAGGATAGTATAGAGAGTATTGTTTGATACAGATGTTGCCGTTCCTCTTAAAGGATATTGAACAACACCAATGATTGTATTGATGTTTCCAACTCTTACCTATTTTCAACATATTAAAAAATTATATTTTTTTTATTTTCAAAACACTGTGTAATCATAATTTTCGAAAATTTTGTATCATTCCCGGGTATTATATAAAGAACAAATCAAATTGTTTTACCTTTGTTATCATTTTAACAAAGGTATTTATAGATTTGCCCAATATAATTAAAACTAGATATTAGATCCGTTCGCATACTCGATAAACTAACATCTAACAACATCCTATGAAGGGTTACGTCATACTGAGGGTAAAGTGCTTTCAACCAATCAAATTGTCGCCTGCACAATCATCGTATATTGTTGAAGCGAATAAGTCTAGAGCTGTTCTCAATCAGACCTCTGACATGACCCTCTATGGGATATTGTTACATGTAGATGTTAGTGTAGCGAATATGCGAACGGATCTAACATCTAATTTTAATTAGATTGAAATTTACCCTGATGTAGAGTTTATCCTCGCTTAAACGTGGCGATGGTTCCTTGTATGGAGGTAAACACTTTAAAGTGTCGCTGAACAGTTCAAGGATAACACACTCACCACTACCAACATGGACGAAGTAGTCTTTTATATCAGTGATAGTGTTCAACTGATCCCCCTGTTAATAAAGATATATAATACATTTCTTTTGTTACTTTTAGAAAAACAAACAAATACTCTCCAAGCCGTTTCTTTTAAAAGAAAACAATGTCAAGTAAAAAATCTTAGTACGATTCAGATTTCATTTTCTTCTAAATTCACAGTCACCTTAACATATATATTCCTGTTTTCTGACGATGGGTCATAATTAAAGGAACGGTTTCCATTCAACTCAAAAATGACAGGATCGCTCACATATATGACGGTCCTTGAAATCACAAACTTGAACCCATCGATATGAATAACAATGGTTTGATAAACAATGTCTCTTTTCTTTCTAGTTTGTTGCCCTTCCTGTTGCATTTGTGGAAATTTGCAGTATAAAAGAACTGAACTTTGTCTACTGCATTTCGGTCCTTCCTAAAAAGAGGATAATAGAGCTTAAGTAAACTCTCTGCTATTAACTATTGATTTTTCAGACATTTTAGAAGAATAATTCAATTATATTTCATATCATACATATCAAACGAGTTAAATGTAACCTTTTTATTTTAACAATTATAAAAATGAAGGAAAGACAACATTTGCATCATAGAGAACAGTAAATGTACAATTTTGATTCATAAAAGGATCTAACGATGCCTAATTCTAAAGGTTCTATTTCATATTACCGATATTGAATAGTCGAATTTTTACAATTTGGTGTATAAATGACTCATAAACTTTGTATGGTAATTTAGTTGTTTCCTCGTATTCATGTAACTGATTTCTTATATCTGTTTACAAGACTAAATATTCATTTACCAACCGACAATATGCAGTTGTTGATACATGTAACTGGAGATTCTTATTTAAAGTAATTTTCTTTCCAATCAAAGTATAGGTACATTGTAAATGGTAATTCGTTTTGAATTTTTTAACAGTCTTTGGTTTGAAATTTGCTACTCAGTATCAAATAATTTATGCTAAAAGTATAAGTATGGTGAAAACAAACTCATAAATGTGTTTCAAACCAATCTAAGAGCACGAAGTTTGCTTTTTAAAAATCTATTCAGAATAATGAACAAAAGTGAGATAGTATCAACTTACAATACTTGACTCTGACAAGCTAATCAGAATATTTTCGATGACATCAACAAACCCCTGACCCTGCACAAGAAATCCAAGTCCGCCACTAAAAATAAACAATAAATATTAATCTTTTTTTAAAATAAAGTGAGAGCACCCCCTTTGTACCAAGTATTGATCTGATAGACAGATCAGAATAATTTCAGTTGTAACTTGTTTTATAACAAATTCTAACATTTGAAAGCTTAACTTTTACTACGAAAACAACGCTAAGGTGCTCTATATCTAATACCCCTACGCCACACGTTTTACGTAACATTTTGGTTGAAATTTTAAAATTTTCAAGGTAAATTATTTTGAAAATAATATTTCTAAGGAAGTCAGAAATGTTTGAACAAAGATGATGACTTCATCTTGTTTTCTTCAACATAAAACTTCGCAATATCTAATTTAGTAATAAAGGAAGTAAGATACCTCATTATACTTTTCATGTTGGTTGATGGAGGTGTTGTTCCATTTATGTAAGGGTTCGAGAGATATGTCAAAAACTTGTCTTTTAATTTCGTTATAGTTTTGGAATCAAACACTACTTGTACAACATGTTCACCCAAAACATCAGATTTCTCTGGAATACAGAATATTTCCCCGTCGTCTGTAGATTGATCCATATCTCTGTGTGTCAAAATTAATTGAAAATAATATACATACACTTTGTGGACATAACATCTTTGAAGTTGACAGAAATATATTATTTGTGTGTACGTACATGGCACACGTTTTGTTTTGTTCAGAAGAATTCAAAGGCGACAGTATCACTTGGTATTTTCTGTTTCCAATGTTGATGTTTTGCCCAGCTATCCGTATAATACGGACTCCAGATTTAATGATGGACTCCGGGTATATACCAGTTATTTCTGGAGTCTAATATTAAATTTCAAGATAAAAGGTCGTTCATGTATAGATACAAAAAGAAGGTAGGGTTTTAGCTTTAATGTCCCTAAAAAAAATTATGTTTTAAAAAAAAGATTTGAAATTGGCTTATATATAAGTTGAGTTTATGATTGTGAAAGATCAGGAAAGACTATGGCGTTAAGGGGTACCAATCTGAAATATGACGTCATTAATTCGATGCATATCTCCTTTTTAAACAGAAAAAAACGTGTTCACAGCCTTTGTCTACTTTAGTTTTTGGATATGTTGTGCAAATTTAATGACAAAAATCACATATCCCAACTAGGGAATACTTTTAGGTTCACATCTACAAGTATAAATGTTTATCCTCAATACCGACTGCAATATAGGTATACAGAACCAATGCCTTTTACCTTATACTGAAACTTTACTGTTCTATTCGACCAGTGTCCCGAAACAAGTACCATAACATCTCCGGAAAGTGGTCCATTACTTTTTCCAGTCGTACACTGCAAACTTCAACCAAAGCATTAAAAATGAATATATACATGTATATAAATGTATATTTAGATAAAAGTACATTCAAAGCAATTATTAATTTTGTATACAAATGACTCAATATAAGCAGAGAAGAATACTTGATCAGTACATAAAACGTCTCCTATTTGTTCTTAGCACCGACATTTCAATAGATCAATTCCTAGGGTTTTTCAAAAATACTGAAACCCGTCTTACTTGATGATTTATTCCTCACTTGTTGAAGTATGCAAAAATTTCTTTTCGGATTAAAACTTTTACCTTATACGAGCAACGTCAATCTGGGACTTGAATAACTTTTGACAATAGGACTGCATATTAACATCAGCATTTCTCCTTTCTCAGAATCATTTTTACATTTAGAAACCTGTACTATATATTCATTTTTTTCATTCATCTTTTCAAAATGTTCTACGAGTTAAACTTTGATAGATTATGGGATGAATAAATCCCTCCTATCTTGATGTGTGGACATTCCAAATAAAATCAGAAGATTTATTTTTAGCTCAAAGAATGAGATAAAAAATTATTCATCAAAATGATGATGCGTATTTTATTTCTTGATATACAATGTACATTTATTGACTGAGTTCGAAGGCAACACGCGTTTTTTTATTCGGAATCAAAAACAAAACTGTTTTTCTGAAGCCGTTAGGTTGAAGAAGTACAGTTTTGTTCGAGGGTCGACAAAAAACATTTTGCCCGATGATGTAACCTCAGGTTCGTCACTGTTGAACACAAATGAATGAAAAGAAGATTAAGTTCCGATCATTCTTTCGGGTAAGCGGTTCAACATCCCATCGACCGGTCAAACATCGATTGTTTATGCCAGCTCAACAATAATTAAGAACATTGCTAAATATCCAGTATGTCAAACATTCATATTTAGCACTCTCGTATAGCGACTAAATAAATCTTTGCAAATTCGTTGAAAAATGACAGTCAAATATTATACACGCCAAATATAATACATTTACAGTAATTCATTCATTTGCTTACCATTAAAAAGTTTATTCATAAAATATGCAACGTAGTTGAGACAGTTTGAATAACCTGATCCTGGTCAACTTTTTTCGAATTTAATAACTCTAAATTTATTAAAATTTACATTTAATTGAAAATTTTACCTTGTTTGAACAAAGTGCAGATTTGAACATTTAACACCAGCAACTGTCACATTTGTAACCTCTGCTAGAGATGCACCTAGATTTCTTCCTTCTATTTTGATGAATGTGCCTCCACCTATTGGTCCATCAGTTGGCTCAATCTTGTATAATGAAACCGGAATATAAATGAAAAATTAAAAGAACATATAAAAGAATTGATTTATTTAAAAGACACCGTATTAATTTATTTAGAAGAAAACCAAAAAAGTTGTTAATTTTAATGTCATTTTTAGTGCTAAAACTGTATTGCTATCTTTGTTCTTGAACATTTGTTGAAGTCGAATTGACAAGTATGCTTGTTTTTCATGATTATGTTTTTTTTGTTTCTATTTTTTTTTAACACAATCTGATTGTAGAGCAGTGAATTCTCCTTTTGTTAATTTGAAATTGATATTTTGACACTAATAAGGCTGAAAGAAAGTTTTTAACATAATCATATAAATTTTATGCTATATGTTCTCACAGGTAATGTTTTTTTCTCTGTTTTATTGCGTATGCTTTGTTGACCATTTATGGTCTTTTGCTATAGTATTAATAAAAAATGACGACAAACGATATTATTACATTTCTTTAAGCGATATTTTTACCTTTCATAATAATAAATTAATTTAAAATATCAATAGCATGACAGATAAATAAAGATTGCTTGAAGAAGTTACTTTGAATGTATATGTGTGAACAATCCTTAATAAAAAGATTATGCTAATATATTCACGTCTTCGAACCTTATCAATATTCAGGGTCATAAATCCAAGGTAGTGTTCATTGCAAAAGAAAAATGTATTTCAACAAAGATAGTCAATGTTTTGAAATGGTACAGTCGATTTCTTTTATCGATTTTGATACATAAAGACATAAATTTTGTAAAGTGTGATTGATTTTTTAAAAAACACATCATTATGATTTTATATCCTGAATTTAATCAGGATCACATCTGATCAAGGTTCATGTTCAATAAGTATACAAAAAACATCACAAAATATTTATTTCAGTGATTGTTTAATTTAATTTCCATTTAATAAATATAATGTTTTTTAAGTTTATTTGATTTCATATGTACGGATCCATGTTAATATTTGTGGGCCCGGTAATCATATTCAGTTAAAGTTTTTCTTAAAATTAGTAGAATGAAATTAAAACAATATAAATGGAATACACTGTTTGCACAATACTGATATTTCAATGTTCTGATAAAAAAATATGGCAATGTAAACAACCAACACGCACTTATTTTTATTTACAAGAAATTCATTCATTTTTTTGTTTATATCATATGTCATTAGGACTTGCTAAGCGCATATAGCAAACTTGCTCTTTTAATATTTAGCCATTTTGTGCAACGGGTAATAAATAGCAAGGTCAAATTCTACTAACAAGTGCTTTTATTAATAAATCAGTGCATAAAATGAAAAAATAAAATAATAAAATGCGCAATAAATCAAAATCGAGAGGTGCTGTTTTGACCCCTCCTTGTATTTGTAAATGGGACGTAACATACATGGTATCACTTTCATGTAAACAAAAGTTTGTTTTTCAACTTTTTATGTGCCAGGATCGATAGATCCGGGTCGTATATTTTTTGGTCCTGACTGTTTGTCTGTCTATCTTTTTGTCTGTATGTCTGTCTGTTGTCAACTTTATCCTTCACCATAACTATTGAACCAAAAAAGATAGAGAATTGATATTTGGTATACATACTTCGCTAATTAAGTTCTTTTAAATGATACCATGTCAATGTCCTTGTGACCTTTTTTGTGACCTTTATGTTAAAAAACGCTTTTTCTAATTTTCACAAAACAATTTTGAGTCATAAGAGATGGGGACTTCATGTTTGGTATGCATACAACACTAGTTAAACTCTTTTGAATGACACCAAGGTCAATGGCCTTATGACCTTGAATGTGACCCATATGCTAAAAATAGCCATTTCGAAATTTGTTGCCACCGGGCGCAAAGTGTTTCACAACCACATTTTGTTTTACAATTAAAAAAATAAATCGTAAAAATAAAACATAGAATTTTACCTTTTTTCAAGCTAAATACATTTTTCTGGATTTTCATTTCTCGCTTGTTGGTCTTATCTAGTTCTCGCGATGAAAGCTCTTTGAAGGTTCACGAATTTTGTTAATTTTGACAGGTTTACATGCATCTCCCTCTTGTTTATTTTCTTGCTAATATTGGTTAGAGGGTGTGATATAATTTCAACTATTTAATATGTACGCAGGGATGATAAGGATTGATTGATTGATTGATTGTCTCGAGAATTTTTCACTCATATGGAGACGCCACCACTTGCCGGTGGAGGGCTACATATTTTGTCTTATGCTCGGCACTCAGGACCTTTGAGCAGTGAGAGATCTCTTTCGTGCCAGCACCTACTTCGAAACAGGAACTTGGTTTACACGGTCTCATCCGAAGGACCGGTCTCAAGGAAGCATATAGAATACTCTACCTTTACTAAATCAGCGATACATTATGACCTCATAGTAGGCGAGATGACGTCAATTTTAGAACAGACGTTTTCGTAATATAAGTATTTAGAAATGTAATTCAACTCTAGAAAATAAATAGATACGTATAAACATTAAAATGCTTTTATTTTGTTATGCTATATATGCCTCTGTCATTTTGATTCAAATCGACCACCGATGACGTCATACGTGTACATCAAGTAACTTGGATATTTCAAAACATAAGATTTTTAAAGATGGAAAGTTTGCCTTTTGAAATACTTGGAAAGTGCTGCTAGAATCCCCAGTTAAGCATGGTTTTTACGCAAATATGTGGAATAATTATTTTATTGACAGGCCAGTGGGATTCTAGCAGCACTTTTCACGCAAAATAGATGTTTTTCGACTAAATTATTTACTCAAAGGAATCATTAAACTCCTGAGTATCGCTGTTCTGTTATTTTTTTCTATAAAGGAATATTTCGCTATTAATAGAAGTCACATGATGCCGTGGTGGTGGTATACGTCTTTGCGTCAGACACTCTTTTATATTTATTCATTAGTTAATAATAGTTTAAGTTTATCAGCAGCTTTGGTAAATCATCCAATTTAATTTTCTTTTAAATGTCTAAATTTCCCGAGAAATGGTTTACATGCTTCCTTAACATACCCGCGTGCATGTACAAACAGCTGAATTTAAGACTGTTGTGCATACAAGGGTTGATCCAAAAGTTCATGGAATTTCTTCATATTTTATTCATTTTTAAGGGATATTGGTTGAAAGCTACATATTAGAATATAGACAATAGTTAAATAATTAAAATAAATAAAAACATTTTAAATATTATATAGCAGTTGCCATGGCAGCGGTTGTTTGGAAATGCAGGGGAGACATTAAAGCGTTTATTATCGTTTTTATTCTAAATACGAGAAATGAGAATAAAGCCACCCTATGTAGTATATAAAACGAAAATTGTGTCATTATTACGATTGCGTGATCTTTAATAAACCTTTATGTGAAAGTTATACTTATTTTACTGTACATTTAGTTTATTAGTTCGTAATTTATTGCTCATCTTAAAGTTGTTAGACAACGTCAAATTTCGGTCAAGTCATAAGTTTTGTGAAAATTCCGGGATCACTCTATCTTAAACGCGTATATTATTGACATAGGCCGGGGAAATATGCATTTAGTTACTGGTTTTTTATTGGCATGAGAAATTTTAGAAAAAAAGAACGTCCATGGACGTTAATTAAAGGTGTGGCCGCTTTTTGGATGTTTATCCCCGTAGATAAATTAAAAGCGTTAACGGACGTTGTCGGCTGACGTACTGTTCTTCACATTGCTTCTGAAATTGTAACATCATATGGAAAAATGGGAAGTATTTTGAAATATGAGTGAAAAATGATGATAAGTTGATTAAAGAGGATATCCAGACTTTTCTTGATTGTATATTGTTTTAACGTCCCTCTTGAGAATTTTTCACTCATATGGAGACGTCACCGATGCCGGTGAAGGGCTTCAAATTTAGACCTATACTCGGCACTCAGGGCCATTGAGCAGTGAGGGTTCTTTATCGTGCCAACGCCTACCGTGACACGGGACCTACGTTTTTAAGGTCATATCCGAAAGACCCGTGACTTTCACTTCTAGTGCCGAGCGCTTGGCGAAGGAACAGTCACTAACTTTGTTTACGTCTTAGGTATGACGCGGCGCCGCGATCGAGAATCGAACCCGGGCCTCCCGATCACGAAGCGAACGCTCTACCACTAGGCTACCGTGACCGGTCGACTTTTCTTGAGAAAAATAAATAGAGATGGGGGCAGCATTTGTAGAACTACGTACTTGAATTGTACATTAGGGTGAGATGCTTCTTTAACATGACGTGACATATCGAACTTAACGTAATGTCAAAGTCTCCCCCGGGTTTCCACAACAATCCATTTTTTTAGAAAGCTCGTGTGGCCTTTTTCGTAATTGAAAAGTTGTGAAATTTTCAAGTATAGTTGCTTTATGACTCTTTATTATAAATATGCCTGTTGTTTGCTTTCATCAGATCACGATAAAATTTTAGAAAGAAATTCCACTAACATTTGGATCAACTCCTGTAGGTGTGAAAAAGTAAAAATAAAAAGTGATACCTTGTCAATTTCAGGTGGAGAACAAGTGGGGTTATCTGTACATATTTCACTTTCCACACATCCATAGAGCTTCCCGCACCAGACACAATTGAACCCTTCCACCACGTTTAGGTACTTGCATCTGCTACAGTCCCTTTTATCAGGAGACAGGTATTCGCACTTATAAGCTATGTAAATTTTATAATAAAAATATTTGTGAGAAGATCCAATTGGATATTTCTATCGAATGAAATGAGTAAGTCTTTAATATTTTCATATATATATATATGTAAAACACTTAAACTATGTTAAGGCAAAAAATTAAATGCAAAATACTTTTGAAAATTTCTCTTCCATTGATTTTATTTTTCGTACTGTTTATTGGTGGATTATAAACATAATTTATTGATGGAACAACCAAAGAGAATACGTGTCCGTCTTTAAATAGTACCTGATATAAATGTTTTATTTCCAAATGACTCTAGGTTCCTGGACGGTATATTAAGACCATATTTGAATAGAACGTGAAAATCCTTCGTGGGTTCCTCTTTCGAGTATGATAGCTGAGTGGGAAATAAAATATTCATACATGACTTCATCGATGAGACATTGATACGTTAATCCAGTCTAATGAATGAAAAAATAATCAAAATATCAATAAGTATCTGTACTTAAAAATAAAATAAGTACTTCCGGAAAATTTTATAATCCTTCGTATAAAATAAAACAACAGGATAAATCAGCAGTGAAATAAAATTAGCAGTGTATAAAACTTGCACGAATTTCAATCTTATCGTTCATAATTAGATTGTGTACATGTGCATATACGTACTTTGAGATTTCTTCCGGGAAAAGTTACATTTTGTTTGCTTCTAGACGATATTCGTGCTGTTTTGTTTAAAACCAGAGGACAAAACTAAGGAAAAAAATGACAATTTTTAAAACATGCAGAGAAAAAGTACGAAACATCACAAAAATAATGCTTTGTATAACTGATTTTGCCTCTAAATGTTTGCAAAAGCAAACTTAGGCAGTTATTTTAAAGCAAGTGCTGTAGATAGTTTGAGTAAAAGTGTGTTCCCACATTGTAAGTTTTGCTATTGATAATTGATAATCAATGATTGTATGCCCGGTAAATGTATTCTCAAAGAATTATCTTTGGGTTCAAAGATAAATAAAAGAATATTTCTCTTTTACAATCATCCTATATATTTATTTTTTTGAGAGTGATCAATTCTACATTATTATATTAGTCATACCTTACCTCTCTTTAAACATCAACCACTGTATTTTTTTTCCTCTATAGGTTATTAATTATTCAATATATAAATGTGACGAAAAAAGATGGATATTTATGGTAGGAAAAGTTTGTTGTCAATTTATTAAAGGTTATAAAATGAAAAAAATTATTAGAATAACGAGGTACAACAGTTTGACAATACTCTCTTTCAAATTGTCAGTTTAATTAACACATTGGTTTTAAGCAATCCAGGGGTGTGAATTGGATATCACACACCAGTCGCTTTTTTACGACAAATGCATGTATTCACCATTGCGATGGGAAGAAGTGATATATATAGTCGAATCACGTGTTTCGGGAAACTATTCCATTGCGTCGCCCTGTGACTTCAAGATTTTTTTTTATCACAATAAATTTCGTTTTGATTTAAACGTTTCGGTCAAATCAAAATAAAAAAATCAAGGTAATACAGATAAATTGTGTCCCCCGCATAGGGAAAAAAGAAGAGCAGGTGCAGTTCGAAGGGATGCCCACTGAATTGTGGAATTATGAAATGTATACATGTATGCAAACAAAAAATACCAATATGGATATGAAGATTCGATTCCTTATTCTTTATTATATGTATTATATATATCTTTATAATATTCCTTTTTATATAGAACATTCATCACACTATTTTGGTGATTTTATGAGTTTGTACAAGCCAGACGTCATTATTTTTTTTTCACTTCTCATGTTGAATACTATCATTTAACAAAATTCAAAAAAGTATTTAAAAAATAATAAAACAAACGGTATTCTAACCCGGGACCTCACACATGTAAAGCGTGAGTCATTCCTCTAGACCATGGAGTCACTTGTTTGTATTACAAATAATATACAAACATTAGATCACATACATGTATATATTCACGTTCGATATTGTCAAAATCTTACACAACACATGGTGTCTAATCTAGCTTTTACATAACAGTCCTAGTTGCTTTGCAAAATATCATTGCGAAAGCTCAAAGACGTGGTTCTCGAGATATCACGCGGAAACGAAAGTGTTAAAAACAGACGGAAGTACGGACGGACAGATGTACCGACAGACTCAAATTAATATCCCCACTTTCAGTGAAAACGGGGGACAAAATGTTCATTTTTATCAATACCTTTTTTTGTTCAGGTAATTATATTACATATGTATCTAGTGTGACAAGACCTTTCATTGGATACCAAAAACTTTGAACCTTTTGACCTTGGAGATTTCCGTACTTATGAAATAACTTTAACCTTTGACATAATTTTTGAATGCTTAGGGCTTCAATACTTCACATATCTGTAAAAAACCAACAACTTTAATCCTTTGACATTCAAATATTGACACTGGAGTTTGATGTACCTTTCAAAAACTTATCCTTGACTATAACTTTTGAACAGGTAGTGCTAGGGCTTTCATATTTTTTACAACTGTATTTCTTGTCACAAGACCTTACTTTGGGTACCGACATAATTTAATTTGCAATTAATAAAAGTTTATCTCCACTATGTTGTCATAGAGGGGCACCAATGTTTCACAAACACATCTTCTTACATCTTTTCTAAAATTATGTATCTGAATTTTGTATACAAAATGATTAATTTTTCAAAATAAGTAATACCTATTTTTTCCTTCAACATAAGTGTTAGGTACTTTACCTGTATTTGATCCTCACCAGGCTTCGAAAAAAAATAAGGAAATCTGTTATACAAACAAAACTTGTATCTCTGTAATTCGTGATGTATAAAAATTAGATATGAGTTTTAAAATATACCATTAACCATGCTTTTAGTAATTTTCTATGTTTAAATACTTTAAAGGATATAAAAAGCTATTTATCTTTTATAGATAGATAGAGAATTGAACATAATTTGTCATTTACCAAAGGCGCACAGTCTCCCCTAGCTCGGGCACATATCACGTCCATTGAGCACCAATAGCAGGTTGTTTTTAGGTTTTCAAGACACTCCCGGCAACTTTAAAAATATTTAAAGTCCTACACGCTATATGAATGCCGACTTTTGTGTGAAACAAAATGATTAATTAATTTCAAAACACATGAAGTGTAATGAGAAATTATACTTTCCACACAATTTTACTACAGACTTCCTTGTAATAACAAAACAATCAAGCAATTTCTAGCAGTTAAGAATTCAGTCTTTTCATGAATATTGATGTAGGAAGTGCATGAACAGTAGGCCTATATGTAGACACGCATGTCCATGGAAAATCACAGACAACAATGTATGTTGCATTTTGACAATAAATTATAATAAATAATTTATTAATAAAAAGTTAATATTCGTCATAACAGAGTAGATGGTTGATACTGCATGATTACATTAAAAGATAAGTATCATTAAGATTAAGACGCTTCCCATCCACGTCAAAAGCGAGTTGTATCAAACGGCCTTCCTTGTTTTCTTCACGCCGTGCTTGTTTATCAATCTAAGAGTAGTGACGGCGTCACGTGATGTATTTATTTAAAAATAGCCATTTCTCTCCTAGCAGGGATATGAATAATTATAATTTTAAAACTTTATAACGCGTTTGATTCTAATGGTGTAATTTACAATATTTTCTTAACTTTTATTGATAATCAATATATATAAATCTCCAATCAAATTTTAACTGGCGCAAGTTATAGCGTGTATATTTTTAATAGAAATTAGATAACTTCTTATTGTTTTAAAGTTAATTCTGAATAAATCTAAAAGAATAATTGAACTGTTATTTTTTTTCTTTTGACTGGGCATTAGCATCGTAATCGGTAGATCCTGGTTCAATTTTTTTTTTTTTTGCCGTGCCAGATCAATTCAAGGAAGTAAATACAAATATGCTGTCTTCCTATGCACAAGACTTTGGAAGTGAAAGTTATAAATCCATCGTTTGAGAACTTAAAAACACTAAGGTTTTTTGTCACGTTGGCATAAATCTAAATAGTCAGTGGCACTAAGTGCCAAGGAAGGGATAAAACTTGTTGTCATTGTGTGCAAACGTGATATCTCTTTTCGGGTAAAAATGTTTCAATTGATTGATTGATTGATTATATACTGTTTAACGTCCCTCTCCAGAATATTTCACTGATATGGAGAGGTCACCATTGCCGGTGAAGGGCTGCAAATTTAGGCCTATGCTCGGCACTTACGAGGGACGCCATCGGTGCTAGGAAAGAAATAAATAATTGCTTTTCCATGATTTAGTCCTAATAATTAAACTAAAATGTTCTCTTTGAATGAAAACACATGTCTGCAATATTTCTATTCAATTTCGAATTGTTTTTAGAAAACTTTTTTGAGTATGACCCTTCGTATACTGGAATAGGACATACCCTATGATTTCCTATTGTTAATTATTTTTTTCTGAAAGGTATTTTGTCAAGTTTGGGAAATGAAACAAGTAAAACGTTGAAAGTGCTGGCCAATAATGTTGATGTGACAAAACCTTAACTTTCTTTTTATCCCCAGAACGCCTTTACTCTTCATAGCCTGTGGGTTTGGACGCTGTACGGAAAAAAAATAATGTAGTGAATCCTCATTCTGGCTCTTTCCTCTCATAAACCTTTCACTTTTTGCAAACATTTTGCTTTCTAGATTCCTCCAGAAATTGAAATTACTTCCACAATAAAAATTTGAACAACAAGACAACTAATTTTTAAGAAAATAGCATATAAAACGGATTTATTGCTCTTCCAATTCTTTGCTCTGTTCAGCCCTTTGCTGTTTTGTCAAGTGTATTTCATTGTAACTATGTTTTGAGGGTTTAAAGCAAAATGAATTAAAGTTTCATTATCTGTTTGGATATCATACAAACATGGATAATTACAATTTTTTTATCTTTTAAAATATAATTGTTAGATATTCCTACACGCTTTTGTTTTCACTCATTTTTCAAAATATCAGGTGACCTTTGAGTGTTAAACTTTTTTTTCTACCAAATGTTTCTTTAAAATAGTATGAAATACCCTCATAATGATGTCTATTAAATTTGCTATGTGTCTTAAAAGTCAATCAAACATACTCATTAATAATTTGTTGAAATTTTGCAAATATACATTGGTTGTTGTGTGTTCTTGTAGCCAAGAACGATACCCATTTTCGATGCCCATTATATCATTTTTGTTTATTGAAATCCACCTGCTCATATGTTTATAAAACAGGCATTGTTTGTTGTAAATTAAACATATTTCAATTAATATAGCTTTGAGATTCTTGACAAATTTAACAGCAACTTTAATGATGCGTTTAATTTCTTGACTATTCATTTCAAATGCAGTGTCTCGAGTAGGCCTTGTTTTC